GCACTCTGACTGTGCATTTAATTTATTATTTTGACAATAAACTTTGTTCAACTGAGAAATATAGCAAATTTACACACTTTAATGTGTCTTACTGATGACCTGGAAACAATATTCAATGAAATGCCAAACATGGAGAACCAACGTCCAGCTTTGTCAGAACAAGAATCCAGAGAAACCCCTGTTTATACATTATGGTCAAGTTATTACAGTTATTCTTATTAAACATGGGGAACCAATATGCAATTTGTAGTTTTATACTTTTGTCTTTCTTTTGGTTTTATTTGTATTTCCTTGTAATTTATGTAAAGCACTTTGAACAGTCCTGTTGCCGAAAATGTGAGTATATATAAAATTACCCTGCCGTACCTTACCTAATGCAATTATAAGTAAAAAAAAAAAAAAAAGAAAAAGTTTTTAGGTCAATAAAAGAAACTTAAAATTGTAATGGTGATCAATGCAGAATTAGAATAAATATATATTCATATTTCCTTGTGTGGACCCTTTTGTATCAAAATGTGGGAGAGATTTAGTTCCGTACATGAAAACTGTGTTTCCTTCCTTCCAGTTTGAACTGATTTAGCATGTTCCTTTGGAAGGACATAATCTGACAGCTGCAACATTAAACTGGGTCATCAGCAACAATAATCCTTGACACAGCAGCGACTCAGAGGAAAAAGAAAAGATCGAGTCGCCGTAACGTCACTGGAAACGCTTTTCCAGGGTCATAAGTGAAAAGAAATACAGTAGCTTTAAATGACTTGCAGTGAAGATTCACAGATGCATTATCTGTACGAGGCACAAAAAACCCCACAAATGCTTTCTATTCTCTTTGAATGAAGGAAACTAGTAATCACAAATTGTGATTATTGGTCCTGCTTAATGCGCCTTTTCACTGAAGTTTATAAAGCAAACTAATCTCTTTAAGTGTAAAACATCAACTTATGGTAATTTAACAGTCGCTGATGGCCGGACTCTCTCTCCTCTGAGCAGGCAGTGATGTATTTAATTTTCTTGAAGCAATATTAAAGCACTTGAGTGTGGAAATTTCCTGAGTGCCTTTTGGTATCTTGAATCCAACCGTTTCTCGTGGTTCCTACATAATTAATAATCCTGAAGTCATTAGTTCCTCTGTGAAGACGGCGGCAGCCTCGGCCATGACGTGTGAACATGCGAGCGAGGGGAAAGTGACCTTGCATGAATAATTAAGCTGACTGAGATGTTTGAATTTATTTTCTGACAAGCGTGTGCAAGACTGACAAAGGAGAGCGAACAGTTTGATTAGCAAGTACCAATTACTTATTCGGCAGACGTAATTTTCCTAGGAGGCAGAGAAAGGAGGTTTCGCATGGCTGAACCAGCACAAGGAGAAGAACCGAATGTCTCAGGATTGTATGTGCGGCCTTTTGTTGTTTGATCCCAAAAGGCGCAGCAGTATAAAAACACCGGCCTGTCATATTCCTGTGACAGTCAGACTGAATCCAAACCATTAATTCTGATTAAAGTGACAGAATGACCCACTTTTCAGCTGATGAAGTCAATAACTGATGCTCCAAGCTCTGCACTGGTGGCAGTGTGTTTCTGTAGTTCACTCCTGGTTCCTGCCAGACATGCAGACTTAAACTAGATTATATTTATGGTGGATACCAGATATTGAAATGTAAGCAGCCACTATTAGGACTCCCATCTCCAACCAGCTTCACCGGGTCTTTATTGTGTGTGTTTCGAGGCAGACGTGCAAAATTTACACCAAAGCTAGTTGATCATTTGCAACACAAAGCCAATCTACGACGGCTGGACATTAACACCGTGTTTACACAGTAAACCTGACTTGTTGAGGTCCACAGTTCTCTTTCTGACATGTTAGCACTCAAGTCAAAGCCAAAAGAAATCTCCTTTGACTTCCTCCAGGAGTTTTTAGTCAGATGCCAGTCGTGCCAACATAATTGGAGCTTCCTCAAATTGTTTAATTGCACGGTAAAGTATGAGGGCATGTAAACTCTTGAAGAAAGCAATAAAAATGTTCTTTTTCACTATTCTGGCATTTAAGCAAATAGAAATAATTGGGGTAGTTTTAAGTGACATGAGACAAAGATGAGTGTAATTTAATGTCAAAAAGTGGGGGGGAAAAAAGTTTATTTTTGTTGAGTGTATATACAGATGCATACATATTTATATGTGTTCTCCAAAGCTTCAGCTAGGCAGCTGTGCATGAAGTAAACACGCCTCTCGTCCAGTAACCACCAAGATCGGCGCCAGCCTCCCTGTGACTCTGCGAGGTTTGGGAGGAACAGACAAAGGATGGACGGATAATGCAGTTGTTCCCATAAGGAGTGTCTGTCTCCTACGAGAGAAGAACATTTGAAGAAGAATAAATTGGTTCATTTTACTTCAGCTCTGAATGACGGAATAAAAACTCTCGGCTGCATTTTCAAACGAGAGGAAAACAACCGAGGTCGAAAGGTGCCGGCTCGTTGGCGCTTTTGTGTGAATTTATGATTTGTGAAAAACAAAAAAAATTGTTCCGTTTTTTTGTTTTTTTTCACATGAAATCCCCAGGATGCTCACATTCAGTCAGTTCCAATCAAAAATGCTCAGCTGGCGTCGGAGCAGTGAGCAATGGTGCAAATCTGACGTCTACAGCCAGTGTCACGAAACCTCTGACCTGTGGACACAGCATGCTTTTTAGTTGCTAAAGTGTTATTCTGAGCTGAGCCTCATGTCAGCAGTCAAAGAGCTTCTTAACTTCACAGCCAAACTCAACTTAATGTTTTATCCTCCACCTTCAGGAACACAACATAAAGTCTGCTGTGCAAAGTAGTTTGTTTTCCACTACAAAATAAATCAAGTATTTGAACCTTCAATTACAAAAGATTTTAAAGTCGCACTGACAAAGATTAGGATGTACAAGATAAAATCACCTCCAAACCAGCCAGACTTGATTGTTATATTTAATTTGGAGTAGCTCTCCAGACTTTCTGAAGTGTCTCTCAAAGTTTTAATCTTGTAGATGTTCCAGGATGCTGCCCAACAAATTATGTTTGATATGTTGAGTTATTGTCACAGATTCAGCCAAAGAGACTGGAGCAAATTGTTCCCTGATGAGCGGCTGCTGGTAAAGACTCAGACTGATCAACTAGGGAGACTTGAAGCAGAAGAACCCAAATGCAGTCGACACACCACAATCATCAATTTCTCACTTTTATTGGGCGAATTATAATTCGGAGTGTAACTGAATAAAAGTGATTGAATCGTTTCAAGAGCTGCAGAAAAGGTTTTGGAAATAACTTTGTGCTCCACAACAATGTTTGATGTTTGGTCCTAATTTCATGCCAGAGGTCAGAATATTTGCAAAGCCCACAATACTCACAATCAAATATAAATCAATATTCATCGATTTTAAAAGTGATGTGAAAAAAAGGGAGTGGAGTTCCAGTGACCAATTTGTTTTTTTTAGCGTTGTTAAAATGTGAACTCTTTTCCTGTAGTGTTGTGCTCAGTGCCCCTTTGAAGGCCATTTAAATTCAATTGAATGTGTTTATATAACACCAGTAAGTCTCACAGGTCTTTATATCTGCTACCTGTGTGTCTGTGGTGAACAGACTCTCCTGTATGTTCTTTGCTTTTCATGCAAACCGCAGCAAGCACTAAAGCTGTGCTGCTTCCCCTCACAGACACTCGCTGTGCGCTCGCTTATTGGATTTTCAGTCTTCATTTCCATTTCTTTATTTAGATCAATACGCGGCCACAGAGACGCTCAGTCACACTTTCTCAAGTAAATGAGTTTCTAAGAAACACTCGCAGTACGTCGCCCTGTGTGGTTTGGTCCAAGGTTAGTCGATTTAACAACCAGTGATTTATGCGCTCGTACGGTAAGCCAATGTGAATAACGACGCTGCGTGAGTTGATTTCGGTTGTTCGATTCAAGAATTGTTTTTTTTTTTTTTAATGAGTATTGGTGCGCCAGTGAATGGTCACAGCTCTGTGTGTTGACTATCGACAGTTTGTGTTTAAACACGTGCACAAAACAGCACCAGATGTTTTACTGTTTTGCCACCAAAGTGACTTGATAGATGTGCGGCAAGTTGTGTCGTTAAATTAGATAACGACACGTTTTAAACTTCTACCACTTGATTGTAAAGTAATTTTGGGGCAGAGGAGAAATTGTTAGTCCTCTGTCGTCATTTTATTGTTTGGATGGAGTAGAGTATGGTGGACGTTCAAAGGTCTGGTTCAATTTCCATGTGATGTCTGAAGTTGTCACATTCATTATCAAGCAATTATTAGGCAGTGAAAATACCATGTCCAACAATCATACAGCTGAGGAAGGAGACGGGTTTTTGTCTGGAGATGAAATGTGGAAATTAATCCCAGAACAAAATCAACAGACCTTTTGAAGAGGACGAAGGCAATACTCTGGGAAAAAAAAAACAAAAAACAACACACATAAAAAACCTGAATACAGTTTGTGGAACACATTATATTTATACCAGAGCACGAAAACGTGGTTTCAGCTCATCCAGGAGGAAGAAATGCTGCGAGTCAGTAACTTAGTGCAACCTGCCGGGTTTCCTCAAATAGAAACTTTTTAACCAATTTGAATAACTAATTGATCTCACTGTTACTGTAGCTGATAACTAGGATCAATTAGAATGTATGCATGATTGAATTAAAATGATTCTTTTGAGACAGTGTTTCTGTGAATCGGTGGCATGTAAATAAACAGGATTAAATTGTATATTTAACAGTACAGCAATTAAATTGTTCAGCAGTACTTAGTCACGAGCTTCTTCTAAAAACTCCAGCTCTAAGTTGCTGACAAGTTGTCCAGATTATCCTTTCTGTAAGTTTTCAACATTTACACTTTCTTCAGTTTGTTTTTTATTACCTTTCCTAAAGTTGATCTGTTCAGGTTATCCCAGTCCCAGCTGCTGATGGGAGACGGCTTAACGCCTTGAAGAATCCAGCAATCAAAATTAAATGAACACAAACTTTGAAAGGTTTACTATTCATCCCATTTTATTTACAATTGACATTTTTTTGGAAATGAGTGTGATTCGGTTTTCGTTCTTACTGCATTACATGATTATCAAACTGCAATAATCAACCACCAATAAAAATACATGTTAGTCGAGGAAGGTAAAACCAGAGACAGAAGACACTAACCTCTTACAACATTGATCGTCGGAAAGCAATAAATCTGAAACTCTGGCTTTTGTCTGTCCTTTTGAAAAAGCATATTTCGTATTCCAGCACATCTTGCATGTTTCATACTCGGACGTTTCAGATGAAAACATTTTCTGCAGAGAAATTACAATGAAAACTACAATGTCCCTGTCAGACATGCGAGTTCATCTTTACATTTTGACTTATACGAAGTGTTTTTGATGAAAGAGTTCAGGATTACCGTAAATCTATTTTTATTACATGTTGACAATGTGCGGTGATTGGTGCTTTTTTGGGGGGAGCATTTCCAGAAAAACAGCCGGGAAAATCAGTACTTAGCACTCTTTAAAGTATGTAGACTTATTAATGTGGCTTTGTGGTTTCTCAATAGAGCTACTCTATTAATGTCTTCTCAAAGAATAGACACTGAATCTGACTGGAGTTTGACTGTATAGTTCTGGTCTGGTATAGAGCATGAACATTATGAACCTTGTGCACAGACCAAATATTTATTTTTTATCCAGTTAAAGATTATTTTACTGACTTCCAGGAAAGCTTGGACGAAGACAAAAACAACACGCTCGGATGGAAGGAGATTAGTGAATTCAGGAACGTGCCACAAGGCTGCAAAGAAGTAGAAAATACAGGATCAAATGTGTCTCTGCCCAGAAAGTACCAACCAGAAAAAGAAGCTGATGCTCCAAAATTTACACCTTCAGGAAAGACTAAAACGTGCAGCCGCCTACATGAACGAGATCAGTTACTTCTGGAGAGAAATGCGACACTCAAAGGATTTGGTCTCGGTGTTAACAGGTGAGCTTGGATGAGTCGGGGTGAGATTTTCACACCCAACAATGCTGCACCAGCTATAAAGCATGGTGGGGGCGGAGGCATGCTGTGCCATTAGTGGTACTGGTGCATTATCATCAAATCAACCATTAAAAATATAAAACATGAATGAAGGCCCCTAATGGGTGCATGGAAATTTTTCACCGCAACTGTAAACACTGAAAAAACACACAAAAGTTGTAGTAATAAATAACTTACTAAAAAAAGAAAATTTTTACCTAGAAAGCACTAATTATACATTCTTAACTTGTGTATAAAATTAAATAAACGTCTTCTTGAAGTCAACCGCGGGTGAAACGCAGCAGAATACGAGACGGAAACGACACTCTGCCGAGGTCTACCGATGTACCGCACAAGAAACGAGGAAAAATTAAAAGGACACAAAACAAACATTGCTGTTATTTAAACATCTCTAAAGAAAATCTCCAAACATTGCTTTCTCTCGTCTATGCAGAAGTCATAAATAGTTTCCCACAGTAAATCCCTACGGAGGAAACAACGAAAGCAGCACTCGGGTTCTGTTCAAACAATAAACAGCATCTGTTAGTCACAGCAGGCCAACGCAGGTCAGCAGGCGCAGCGGAGAAACGTGGAACAATTACAGATCCTCACCGCAACTCGTCATTTACTTTCTCCTGCTCAGCGCTCTGAGTAAGACTGGATGGACGGCTTTAGGCCAAATCCGAGCAGCTTAGCACAGCGCAATTAATAACTACCTCATGGAATAATCACCTCTTGCTTCATCTCTGTTGTTTTTCCCAAACGATGATGATAAAAAAAAAAAAAAAATGTGGGACGGTCCAAGATGGCGCTGGGATGCAGCTGAGCGAGGGGGAGGCATTTGGGCCGTGACTCATCTCTGGGTCAGTGCTCTTCTCCTTTTAGTTGGCGCAGCGCCATTTAGTGATGCAACCGACTCTCTGAGAGGACGAGGTGGAAACGTCGCGCCTGGCTTCATGCAAAACCGCACAGCCGCGTTTATCGCGGCTCCTTGATTACAGAAGCAAAGGCCTGCCGCCCTAACAACGTGAGCACGACATGTTCGTGGATTCCAGCATGCGTGAACCCGGTCTGTGCTTAGAAACTGTAAAGAGAACAGAAAACAAAAACGCTCCCATCAAGTTCTTCACATCTCCGGCGGATGCAGTCCGACGCGGCGAATCCAAAGCGCTGGGGGGTCAGTGCGGCGTTCCCTTCCTCCTCAGCTCCAGGCTGTGCAGACCCTCCTGCCTGCCCAGGGCGTGCTGCGCGCCGACTCTGTGGGCCATCTCCGTCGCGGTGATGTCGATCTGAGCATACCTGGTGGAGCTCTTTCCTGTCAAAAAAAAAAAAAAATGAATAATTGCAGGAGAAACAAGGTTGTCATCTGGAATTCATCTGGAAAAGGTCTTTTCTAGAGTCTAAGCTCAGAAAAAGTTTATTGCTTCACCGACTAACTCGTCTGAGCTAGTAGAGCGCAATGAGAAGGCAATAAACAAAACCTGACAGTAAAATATTCACCTGAATTGGATGAGCTGTGTCTAAGCCAAAATCAAAAGACTTCACAAAAAAAAGTTACCTGCAGATGCGTCAGCTAGGAAATCCAGGGGGGGAAAAAAAGCAGCTTTCCTTTAATCTACACCCGTACATAGCCACAGAACGTCTTGCGTCACCGTGTTTTTAAAAACAACAGGAAACACATTCAGCGTGTGCGTGGCGCTGAATGCGATTACTCAATGCCCTGAGCCTTTGATGTGTGCGCCTGCTTAAACCTGCTTAAAGTTGAGTTCAGTTCTAATAAAAGAGATCACAAAGATGTCATGAACAATGCAAACCGTAATGCCTTAAGCTGTTTGTGAACTGGTAGGAGAGGGCTGCTTCCAAAGCCAGGCTCAGGGCAGATTTCTGTCTGGATTGAACTCGGATGCGACAAAATCATAAAGAAATAAAAATAGAGGGGAAAAAAAAAGAGTTTTTTTTTTTATTTATTTCATGGTCTTTTCTGCAGAATATTTACATCCTTTTGCTGCTGGAAGTTTTAGCTCATCTGATAATGAATAAAAATAGTTGGTCAACAGATTTTGGACCAGTACAAACATTATATAAGGAATTATAAGCTGCAGGATCTTCTGGGTCTTTAAATTTCTCCTTCTGCGCAAACCGGATCAAGTTTCCACACATAAATCAGAGAAAATATGCAAATAATTCAGCTGAATTTTGTCTTTCATGTCTTTATTAATACAATCACTGCCAAAAATGCTTCTTTTCACTCGTCTTATATAAAATTCTAATTTTCTGACAAGCAACATCTTGTTTATTTCAGTTACCAAAGCAAACAGAAATAACTTAAACATGTTTGTATGTAATGAATCATTATGAAGTAAATACATCTCTATAAATCGGGATACAAACCATTTTATAGAGTTGCACCAGTCACACTTAGACTCAATATTAATGCAAATGGCTGCTGTTCTGCACCTCGGTCGTGTTTTATCGTCTCTCAGAAAGGGAAAGAAATTCAACCCGGCTTCTCCCGGCTATCGGCGGTCCCGGTAGGACGACTCCATTAGAGAGGGCCAACTCACAGCTGCGACCCGAGGGCCTCGGTGGTGAGGCAGGACGCCCTTCCTCCCGGGTGACTCGTTAATAAGAGATAAACTGCAACGCCGCCATCAAGGCGCCGACCTCTGACCTCACGCCCTTCTCGTGTTCTCGGAGGCAGCGACGATAAGACCAAACCCGTCTGTGAATTACGGCTCGCCGCTCCGTCTCCGGTCACCGGGACTCCGACGTCTTTCGGTAAAAGTTCCGGTGGGAGTCTTGCGGCGGCTGATGGGACCGAACCGAGTCACCGATGATTCATGCGGCCACAGCGACTCTTTATCCTGCCCCCCGATGCAGCCTTGACATTAGCGCGCTGAATTATTGTAAGCGGGCTCTTTCAGAGCGGTCTGCCGGGTTTGAGGAGCAAATGCCTGAAAAAGCGGCTGCGTACAGATGGTGATCAGAAACAGGGAAAGCTTTGTGGGGAAAAAAAAAAAAACCGTCAAGGTTCAGCGCTTCAAACACTCGCTTCTATATTTTTTTGGTGTAAAGTTCATGGACACACCAAATCTGACCTTTTCTCACACATTTAACTGCTTTGCTCCTGGACTCCTTTCTTGAGGAGAGAGGAGTCCAGGTGTGAATGAGGAGTGTGTGTGTGTGTGTGTGTGTGTGTGTGTGTGTGTGTGTGAGGTAGAAATGATGCATGTAAACCACTGGATGATTTAACTGGAGCACAGTAATATTATATGAATGTGCAAACTAAAACTGAAGCAGTGCAAACTTTGCACTCTGTCATGTTTGTTTATGTTAGCATTAGTATGTTGTCTGAATGCCTGTGAATATGTGTCAGAAATGTTTCTGATATAAATTAGGTTATTTTGGAAAATTTAGAAATTCAGTCCATAGCTCTTTAGCTAGATTTAAACAGTAACTAACAGGTTGCTACATGTTATTCAAAAGAAGGAATGCGGCAAAGCTCGACTGTGGAAAAACTTTTACTCTGGAGAAACTTTCAGGTACAACGATGATTGTTTATATTCTTCCCTCTAAAGAACCAAGACCTGATCAATACGTTACGATACCATCAGTGTTTTTGTCCGGATTGCACTGTGCTCTAACTATAATCTTCTTTTTATCAAGATTTTTTCTTTTTTTTTTTTTTTTTCCCCTCAGAGACAACTTTCAGGCGTATCACCTCGGTCCTGAATTTCATGTGCATCCTGAAAGCAGCACCAGGAGAAACCAGCGCCTCTCGGCTTCTTAGCAGCGACCTCAGGCCAGAAGAGGACGGCGCCTCCACCTGAGAGAGACTGCAGTCTCATCGGATTAACAGCAGGGAGCGACTGTGGACCCGGATGTTGTCGGAGCTCATTTTTCCTGCTCATTTGGATAAATTCCCGCTGGAAATCACGACTTCCTCCAGGTTTGTGTTTCTTTTTCAAGCTCGGGTTTAAACAACTTTTCAGCTGCGTTCTTCTCCGTTTCCTGCAGCGTTCATGGGTAAAAAAAAAAAAAAAAAAAAAAACTATTTAGAGAGAAGACACTGTTGTTATTAGCAACAGCCTCTGTAACCATGAATTTGAATAGTAGATTAAATCAGTTAAGTAAGCTTATATTGACAACTGAAAAACAAAAAAAAAACTCAATTTCCCTTGGATCATCACAAAGATTTACTTTTAAAACCCACAAAGGATTTACTGAAGAATAAACAGACTGTGATCTGCTGATGAAAAGTCATCCTACGGGCTGA